CAGGAAATTGAGAAATAAAAGCACCTCCTGACAGCAAAGAATCCCATCCCACTTCAGGAGAATGGGATGACCAGCTTAGATGAACCTTCAACCTGACATTAGTTAATCCAAGTTCATCCCAACTGTTTGTTTCTTATTTCCCAAAGAATGGTCAAGCTTCAGCAGAACTTCACAGGAACAAGGCTATGAACAAACCCATTGCTATACTGCACACACAGAACCACGCTGAACCATTCTTAAAGGTTGTATGTTCGAAGCACACAAAAGCTTGCAATAGCACAGCTGGAATTTTCTGTGCAACTTTATTTCTACTTCTTCAAATATGTGCTATGATGTAACACGACTGTGCATCCTTTTTTCCTTGCAACCTTGCAGTTTTCAGTGTACTGGATGCCCAATGCTCACATACTCAGTAGCTAATAAATATTTTGTACTTCCCCACTGTTCATCCTGTACTAATCAAACGTTGCTCAAAGCTAGCTCCAAATGAGGAATTAATAATCTTCTCATAGACAGTCTAGATTGCTCATCCCAAAACATCCAAACGTTTCACAAGAATGAATTCACAACAAGAACTGGACAAAATCCAGGATTTGTGCCTCATGGAAAATTTTAGTGTTTCCAATCGGTTTCATTGTGCTTTGAAATGAAAACACACTTTTGAAATGTCTGTAATCTCGGAATTGAAATAACGAATTTTACAGTTCTGCCAAGGGTAAAATACAACTCCCCAGGGCAGCATTCAGTTGCTATAACACTGAGACTGGCTGTAATCACCTGCTTGTTCACTATGTGCCTTTAACTTTCAGCAAAAAAGCTTCAAGTGAGGCAGGAATTGTATGAAAAAAATAGGATGTGATCATGCAGCTGAGGACTTGCTGATAGTAATATCCAGAATGCTATTTATAGCAACTTTTAAATTAATTTCCTAAAGTTTTCTTTTTAAACACACTAAAAATAATAGATTCTATCATATTGTGTTATGTTAAAACTGGAAAGGCTCCTCTGCAAAGCTGGGATGTTTGGATCCATCACAAAAATCTTTGCCACTTGAGGTAATGAAGTAGCTGATGGCAATAGCAGATTGTCACATAGACCAGCACAAGCAAGTCTGGAAATTAACTGAAACACTGAAAGAAAGGGTGAGGACATGGAATTCTCTCTAGAAGGTCCTTTGCTATTGCTGGCAACAGCAAACTGTAGAAGTTGAGGTGCATTTTGCTCCACTTTGAGTTCTGGAGGTCTGTTTTCTAATGGCAAGACTTTGCTACCAGATTCTCCTGCCAGGTAACTGTCCTTTCCTTCCTTCTGATCTCCCCAGCTTCTTGCTGCATTCTGATTTAGTCAGCCTCATTCTCTTTTGGTAGATGAATACCAGAAAAAAAAAATCCTAAACCTTATGCAGCTTTTTCTGTAGAAAGCAAAACATACTCTGAGAGAAAGGTATCACCAAGGCATCAGCAAGCTTCACTTTAAAACCTTCCACGGAAAGATTCACAGGACTTCTCACATTACAGAATTATGCATTTTTTTCAGACTCTTCAGTGAAAATTACTGAATCTCTTCACCCTGACTCTTCTCAATAAATTCCCACAAAATGGATGCACAGCATAATGTGAGAATGTAACCTGAGGACTTATGTATGGAGCAAAATCAAATTATTTCTGACGTACATTAGCTCTGACAACTGACAGTTGTAGATGCTTGGGCAGAAAGTGTAAGGAACAGGGATTATAAAGTCACGCTTTTCCTGGCAGAACTTTCCAGCAATCAGCTGTTCTGTGATCTTCTGAGCAGGAGGTTTTGGCTAGACCAATTAAGTTTAATTTGAATGTGTAATTTTACCTAATCAATTCTTGGAACTCATTTATACTTCTGGCCTGTAGCAATGAGTTCTACAATTTACCTGTGCCCTGGCCAAACACGTATTGTCTTTTGCCTTTTTTCAGACTCGCTAGCTGAGCGTTTCTGTGCTGCCTATTAATGAGTATTATCAAAAATATTGTCCCTATTCATTCTCCCTCAACACTTTTAGTTTCACAGATCCCTAACAAACCCTCTGCCACTTCCTGCGACTTCTTTTTTAAGCTGAAGAGTCAGCCTCTACTTGTATGTAACTGTCTCCTTGTCATCCTTTTCTATGCCATTTTTGTTACTGTTTTTAAGACAGTGTCTTTTCCTTAAGTGTTCAAGATGTGGCTGCATCACAGACTTACACAAACCTATGATACTGTCTTGTCCTCAGTTCCTTCCTTTACAATAATTAACATTTAATTGGCCTCACTGCTGCTGAGCACTGACTTAACCTTACCAAAGACCTATCCATGGTGACTTTAAATGTTCCCTCTGCAATATAATTATTAATTTGACACTCCTCATTCTGTATGTGTATTTACAGCTACATTCCCCTGTGTACACTAATTTAACCTACCTTGGGATTACCCTGGCTTTACTGCTTGTGCAATCTTTTGCTGTGACTTTCACAGTTGACTGTCTTGAATAATTTTGTACCATTTGTTTCTTCTGTCACCTCACTTGTCACCTCTTTTTTTCCAAATCACTGTTGACTGTGCTGAACAAAACAGGTTTCAACAAAGGACTTAGGGGAATCCAGCAGTAACAGCTCTCCACTGTGAAAACTATTTCTTGTATTTTAAGGAGTTACTAGCCCAAGAGTAGCCCCTATGTCTTCCTCCACATCAGCTTTATTTCTCTAGATAGCTTTGTTTTAGGTCTGGGCTGTAAGATTTTCAGCAAGCTAAAAGCTGGATAATCTTTCTCCACATGCCTGTTGCCTTCTCCAAAGAACTCTTAATAGATTTACAACTCTCTTAAGTCTCTGCAATGGAGCAAGCTGGCCTGAGAAATGGCTTCCTAAATCCTTCTAAGACGTTTGATTCTTTGATATAGCACACTCATCCAGGTATCTAACATCTCTATTCTATAACACAGTTTCTATCAACTTAGAATTACCCTTTTTTGCAGTTCTGTGGCTCAGTGTCCAATTTGTCAGTGTTTATTCTTCTGGTCATACAGCAGATTTAAGCACTGGATTACATATCATCATTAGAGGCTCAGCAATTGCATAGCTTCTGAAGAACATCTGAACAAGTGCATGTGGCCTTAGCGACTTGTCACTGTTCAATTTATCAGTTTGCCTAAAAGCTCTTCCTATTGACTCTCAGTAGGAAACTGTTTGTCAGACACAGACACACGTTCACTCCTGAATGTTCAGCTGTGCCAACTGAAGGCATCACTGTCTCCACTTATTCCCCACCACTTCTCCCAGAGGTCCATGTCCAATAATCTGCCAGCGAGGCAGTGTGTTTGAGTGCTTCTTAATACGCTCCAGGCAAAAGCAGATGGGTTAAACAGTCTAATTGGCAGTTTAGGTAAATTAACCTGGCTGTTTTCCTGGAGCTAATTAGGAGACATGGAAACAAAATGCTCCATTTGCCAACTGATGGGAATGGTAACCTCTGGCAGGAGATGGGTTTGATAAGCAGTGATGGGCAGTAGCTTAAATCAGAATAGAAGCAAGCCAAAAATCTGGATGAAAGCAAAGAATGGGGAACCCCTCTGACCTTTTCTGCAACACTACATCATCTAGTCAGCATTTGTGGGATGGCTTTTTTGTGTGCCCTTTCTACACCATGACCATATTTGTCCCCCTTTCGACCTGCTCCAGGCTTCCTGCTTTTAACAAATTTCCTAAAGCCACTATTAGTATTTATACATCTAGTGAGTAGCCCTATCATAAGCCTCATCTGACCCTCCTTGGTATGACTTTAAATTTAACATATTAAGACATGCTTTCCTCGATAAGACTTAAATTTTTTTGAAGTATATCTTCCTATCTTTATAAAATTCATTTTAATAAGAATATCTTTGATACCTCCTTCCATTGTCTTATCTACAGCATAAGTGCTTGGAAATACACCCTTATCTTCCAGGAAGAAAATAATTTATTTAGTTTCACACCATGTACACATGTCCCCCAGATCAATGGTGCACTATTTGCCTGAATACTTCCGACTGCAAACATCTGTCCACAATAAAAGACCAGAAACTGGATGCTGTAATCAGATCTCTAAGGCAGAGTATTGGTAAAGCTGATGTCACTTGCACAGTTACAGCGCAGGCTCCTCCCTGCCTTCAGGATCTTTTTTTCTCCTGTCTCTGGACTCCTGATTCACCTCTCTGAAGTTGTCTTTCCTCTCTAACCTATCTCCTCAAGTGTCAATACACTTCTTGGCTCCTAGCTTTGCCTTGGGGAAACTCAGACACTCCGAAGTCCTTCTGCCACAGCAGCACATTGCACATACCTACTTCTACCCAGGGCTGGCTCTCTCCTTGCCCCGAGGGGATGCCTGAGGATGAATTCTCTGGTACAGCCTCTGGACTTCCTTCTTGCAGGAACTGGGACCCCAGCTGTGCACTGGGACAGCTGGTTGAGGCTTCAGTCACCACTGAAATATAAAGCACAAAGCAGTTCTTGTTAGCTGTGCAGTGTCTGCTTTAGGAGACAACACCGAACTGTATATCCACCCAGCGTCCTTCTCTGCTCTGAGCTTAAGGAACAGTGAGATACCCCTGACAGATACCAGCCCTCACTCTCCCCAGAGTTTGAAAGCTGGCTGTCAGCTCCCCACAACAGCTCTCTTCCAGTCTCAGTTACCATGAGGTAGAAACCCTGTCCGACAGCCGGGCCCTCCCACTAGCCCTCCTCACAAGCCAGAGCTGCTAACCTGTCTGCTGAGAGGGCAACGAAGAAAGCCAGAGAGACCTGTGCTCTTTCCTGGCGTCCGGCAGCGATCTCAGCCATGAGATCTGTCTGACCAGCTGCAGCAGCAGCGCACCGAGCGCTCCCTGAAGAAAAGCAGACACAAGTCAAGGAAAACAGCCCCACTCCCTCTTTCTGCCCCGTTTCCATTCGGCAGCTTGGGCACAGCTCCGTTTCGGGGCGCCCCCTCCCCACGGCTCCCCTCCCTGGGGGGG